TTGTTTACCTTGTTTGAACAAAAAATGACACAGTGGTTGTTATTGTGAAGTCCAAGATTTCAGAATCCAGATTCAGATTTATCACTATAGCAAAATTTTATTTTTTGCCCAAAATTTGCATTCTGTAAAATTTTTTCTTTTCCTTTTCTCTCTCATTTTTCTTTCTACCTTCTTTTATTTTTCTTTTCTTTCTACCTTCTTTATATTCATTTATTTGTACTTTTATTTTCTTTCTTGGTATTTTTATTGCAATTATTAACCCGGATTTCAGGAAATATGTAAAGACAAATTGCTTTTATAATCAGAAAAGGTGATCAGTCTTCTCAGATTTTGCATTACAACCTGTTTAACACAATCACTAATTGAAATCCAAAACAAGCTTTCCATTTTAAAATGGTATTAAGGTAAATCAGTTTTTAATTTTTGACTGATCTAGCTATTTTCCTTATTTTTAATCTGAAGTGCAAGTTTGGTTTATTTGCAAATCACCTTTTATTTTTTAATTTTTCATTTATATCTTTCATTCTTTCTTTTTGGACAAAATTTTTTTTTCAAGAATTTCAGTTCGGATATTTTTTTTAAGTAATTTTTGTGCAGAGATCTTAATTGGTAATTTAATTTGTCACAATTGTGTGTTGGGAAATTCAAATATTTCATTTCTATTTCTTACGTGTTTNAGTTCGGATATTTTTTTAAGGTAATTTTTGTGCAGAGATCTTAATTGGTAATTTAATTTGTCACAATTGTGTGTTGGGAAATTCAAATATTTCATTTCTATTTCTTACGTGTTTTTTAAGTGAATTTGGTTACTAATACTTTTCAATTTGTGTTCGATCATTTTCCTATCTGTATGCTGGAATTAAAGTTCAGAAATAAAGAAACGATTTGTTTATGGAAATTACTGAGCTAGAACAGAGCTATGAACTAATTACCAATGTTGGACTCAAGCATTAATGTTTGGTTACTCTTCAATTCAAATTCTAACAACAAGTATTTTGTTCATTTTTCCAAACTATTTGTATGTGTTCTAACATTTCCTAATTTAATTTTTGCCACACCGTAATTGCATTCATATATCAATATCAATAACAAAAATCAATATCAATAATTATTGTAGTTGAATTTAGAAGATATATTACTATTTTTTTTTTTAACAGAGCAAAGGGAAAAATGTCCTGCTTTTGATTAAATGCATACTTGCGCCAAAAATAGATTTTAGAGCAGGATGTGGCTTTTAAAAGTGTGAGAAAGTATTTCGATTAGAATAATTAATTAGGATAACATAAAAAGATTAATAGAAGCTTTTTATGTTACATATATATATATAACGTACAAAAGTTCATTAATCAAGTGATATAGTATTTCGAACGGGGTTTTGTCCCCCAAACCCTCCCTAAAACTACACCACTGTACTCAGGAGAGGTATTTTTTGTTGGTTTTTTGTAAAAAATCGAAACATCCATATCAGCAACAAAATGCTTCTGTATTGTGCCGTTATTCAATGGAAACTTCTAAAGAAGTGGAGGTGTACCTATTTGGAAACAATACCAAGAAACTGTTTAATGTACAAATTCCGCCTACAGAAAAACTTGGTTTTTCGCTGCATTGCCCATTAACCATCAAATGTATTAAAAACCACCTTGGAAAACGTTTCATTTGTTCGATATACACAGTCGCGATGATAATGATAATCTCGGAAATATTCTCATTTACCACGCAGTAACATCTGGATTCGATTGGATTCTGTATCATTCATTTTACTTGAATTTCATTGCATAAGAAAAGCTATAAATCATTATTTGGAAAAAATAAAACCTTTGAATAAGACTCGACCTCTGCTGCTAATTAATCAAACTCCACAGCATCTGTTGACGACACATCATTTAAAAGTCATTTCTTATTTCCATAATTCGCCCACTCATAGAAGGACTAAAAAATTAGCTCGTAAAACTGAACAGAAGTATATTTAGATATGTTTTCTTCTATTATTATGAGCTTTTTAAAAAATTTATTCTTATTTTGTAATATGTAAGTAATATTATATTTTCGTATTAATGCAAGTGTAATTATGTATTGTGAATATGATTCCATTTAAAAAACACAAGATTTTCAAATCAAATTTCTTCATAGTTTTTCTTCCATATAAGCTCTTTTTATATTTATTAATAATATTACCTTACGAAACTTTATAAAAGCGTTTGGAAAATATGTTTTCTTAAAAACATATTGTCCAAATTGAGATGCTAATTCTTAATTTCTACTAAATTTATCAACTTTTTTTCAGAGTAATTTTTTTATATAAAGCCTTAAATTTTTGTATCCAAATTTTTGGATTTTGTATCTCAAATATTTCGTATCTCTATTTATTTTATAATTTTTGTATTTCTTATGGACCAAAAAACTGAAGTAATAAAGATTTCGTCGCTTGAAAACAAAATTAACTTCTTTTTTTTTCTCGATTTAGTAAGTAATTGTGAAAAATGGTCAACATTGATTGCTTCTCAAAATTTTGTCTAAGAAAATATGCATGTTTTTAAAAAAAAAATACTTATGGTGTTTTGTCTTGGTTTTAAGTTCTGCGATTGTGCATAAAAATTTACAAAATCGATTGCGCATACTGCCAAAAAAATGTAACGTGAATATTGGAAAAAAAGAAAAGAAAAGAAAAGTGTCATGTGACTTTAATATTGGGAGAAAGAAAAAAAGAAAGAAATGCTAAAACATTTTGCTTGAGGTCCCTACGAAAAAAAAAAAATAGTGCGTGGAGTCCCTCCGCTCGGAAGAAGTTAAACTTCGCAACCTGCGACGTTAATTGGGTATAATATAGCCTACGTCACAGGTTGTGTTGTTCCTACTAAATTTAACCCATGAACGGCATTTTCTGCGAGCCTAACTTCAAGCCACAAATAAACAAACGAAGTGTTCGATCGTTTAAATAGCTGCTCGCCAGATTTTATTGCATTATAAAGAAAAGTTTTTGAAACTAAATACAACTAAATAAACAACAACAGCTAAAACAAATAACAACAACTACTAATAACAATAACTAAATAAACAACAACTAAATTCCATTCGTTTAGCATTGCGTCATATGTTGTTCCTACTAAATCGAAGTAGTTGTGTTTTTTTCATATTATACC